CACAGCTGTATTTGGTGCAAATTAGCAAAAAACAAACCTGCTAAACATCAGCTCGTGCACGGCGTCGCGGCGAGCACGAGGAGGTTAGCATCTAGGTCATCACTGTGCAGCCTTGTAGAGCCGCTAGCGTAACTCTTAGTGCTCAGACCCCCTTTGAGTCTGTTTTCCTTTCAACCCCTTTCTATTTATTTTGCATTACTGGAAGGAAACGCAGACACAAGAGGACAACATTAAACTGAAAGGACAGTGTTCCAACCCTGCAGGAAACAGAGAATCAGAAGCATCAGATGAGCGTGACAACAGGACAAAAAAAAAAAAAACCCAGACAAACCCACTAATAACTCGGACAGCATCAAACGCTGAGATCCTTCCTGCATGTAGGTTACTGGCTCACTCGCACACCTCAGTAAATGCCAAGGCCGGAGCGAGGGATACATTCTCTGTTGCCGGGGTCATTCTGGCCGTGAGTCATCGGCGTTATGTTTAGTACGTCCGCGACTTCGTCCACTCCAATTAACCGGGGCTTCGTTACTCCCCCGAGACTCTGACACGCACAGCCGCCGCCGCTCGCACACAGGCTCGCCGAGGGACACGCCATAATTACAAATCCGTCTCCGCTCGCTTCGCGCCGGATTCCGTACCGTAGTCGTGCATCTTCCACTTTCTGACTGCCAGAGATAGTTAAAGACGACAGCGGGGTAAAAGTGACACGCAGGTGCTCCGAAAAGTGTCAAAGTGAAGCAGATTGAGTCGGAGCCGTGACCGACGACGGAGCTCGTTAGCGGCGTTTGTGCTCGACGCCCCGCTGAGCGCCGTCGCCAATCTGGAAACACACATTGTCTTTATTCCACCACATCAGCTGTCGTAGAGAAGGAAAAAATACGGTCAACAAAAGGAACACAGCCTTGTTGTTTCTGAACGTCTCTGAGCTTTGTGGTGTCAACATTATGTAACACAAAGTACAGTAATCAATCAATCTGGCACTTCAGGTGTTTCGTAAGACGACCTGGTGTACAGTGTTTAACAAATGCAGTTACTAAAATCATCTCTTATGTGTCTGTGATGGTTAACTCACCAGTATGTAGAAGCTCTTTAACCACAATGATGTTTTTAATGCGAAAATATAATTATTATTGTGATCCATGAATTTTTAAATGTAGTTTACAGTAAAGCACATTATTATTTCTTGATTCAGATGTCGGATTATAGTTATTTACCTTCATTCCTGAATAGAAACATTAGTTTTAGTGGTTGAATGTGAGTGATTTTCTCAGAGAAGTCCAGTGAGCTGCTCAGGTTTGGGGATAAAAAGGTGGATTCAGTTTGAAATTCCTCGTTCCTGTTCAGAACGGTGAAACGTGGAGAGCTGAGTGGCCTTAAAGCACCTCATCATGCTGGATGGTCTATACAGAAATCAAACAGGTGGTCTGATAAACTAGTTGTAATATTTGTGTTTTTATACTCGTCTACCTTCCCTGGTTCATGCTGCTCAGGTCTCGTCCCCTTTGACCCATCCCTCTCTCTTCTTTCACAGATATTATCTCACATATGAACCCTGTCCCTGAGACATTATTCCCTCATGCTTTCTCAAGGAGGCGCTGGACACTGTTGGGCCTTTCATCATTAATTAATCGCTCCCTGGTCAATGGCTGTGTCCCTAATGGCTTTAAACGTGCCATCATTCACTCCCCTGATCAAAAAGCCCAACTTCAATCCATCCGTTCTAAACAATTACCGACTGGCCGTCGATGCTCTTGTCTTCATCCATTATTCTCGAAAAAGTAATTTTCCTGGAAACTCGTGTCCTCCTCGGTCCGATTCAGCGAACTGGACTCGTTACATCAATGTTTAGGACGCCTCACCGTACGGAGTCCGCTCTGCTCGGCGTGACGGATTCGTCTCCTGCCGGATCAAACTCAGTTAAATCTGATAACGTCTCCTCTTCCTGGAGCACCATACGGCTCCATGTTGTTGTGTTTTCTCTGTGTATGCTTCCTTTGGGGTCCATTCCTAGACGATATAACATCTCCTGCCATTGTGACGCCCATGGCACGGGGAGCGTCGGCTTCCACATGAGGATGTGAAATCACGAACAGCAAAAAGCTTCCTTCAGCTCAGCCAGAACAACCCGTGGTTCTCTCTGTCGCCACCATCGATGCTCTTCCTCTTCTGTCATTGAACGTAAAGCCTCATGCAAGAAACATGGTTCTGCTTAAAATTTGATAAACAAATCAGCTCCGACGGCAGCGCTGCCTTCCTCCTGTGAGATCTTTTGCGAGATTAAAACCATTCCTGTCCATTACAGATGTGGAGGCTGCAGCTTTTATTTCCTCTCACCTCGGCTGCTGTAATTCTCTCGGTGGGAATCAGTCGGTCGGATCTATCTCGCCTGCAGCCGTTTTAAAATGCAGCAGCGACACTCCTCGCTGGCACCGAACACAGAGAGGCCACGTCTCTCCTGTAGCGGCTTCTCTTCGCTGGTTCCCACTGAAGCACAGGATTGAAGAAGTTGTGGAGATTGTTGTGTTTGTGTGTTTTGGTTTTTTTTAAAGCTCCGCATGGACCGGCACCGGGTCGACTCTCTGAACTGTTGACCTCCGAATCCGCCTCCTGCTGACCAAGCTCTCCGTCCCGCACACCGGCTTAGAAACCAAAGGGGATGGAGCATATTCAGTCACTGGTTAATTCTGGATCAGTCACTAGTAATTAGATCTTCCATCCTGAGGCGTTTTCATAAACCTCTACGAAGCCAGATTAGTGGGTTCTCAGGTGTGCTGAGCCTGAAGTCAGAGTTTTCAGTGTCACGACGGTGGCTCTGTTTTTACCAGCTCTATTTCCATGGTAACTGATGCTGCGGAGCTCCATCTCCACGGTAACTGATGCTGTGGCGCTCGATCTCCACGGTAACTGATGCTGCGGAGCTAGATCTCCACGGTAACTGATGCTGTGGAGCTCGATCTCCACGGTAACTGATGCTGTGGAGCTAACCTGGTCTGGAGCAGGTTATGTTCAGAGATTCAGATTTAAATCATCTGGAAACAGCGTCCCCCTTCAACCAGATCGTTTCCTGACTGTTGTTTATGAGCGATACAGATTCTCAGCTGAGGGAATGAGTTTTATCTGCAAACACGCTGAACTGTGCGTTGCTGATATCCCTGAATGAAGCCGCGGAGTTACAGCATCACACACTGTATGCATCACGTTGCCATGGGAACCGGACGTGCGTGTTTAACCGGCGGTGCAGGAATCACATAAATATGTTTTTATGTTTGACTCTGATTTGCTGTCAAGTCCGTTTACTCTGCAGCTGGTAGAACACAGACGAGGAGATGGATTATTCTGCTGGTATTTATTACAGAGAATATCCAATCAATAACATTGATTGTACCTTGTGTATGATGACAATAGAAAGCATTGTATTCTATTCTATTCTATTCTATTCTATTCTATTCTATTCTATGGGACAGAGTCAGACCTAAATGCACTTCAATACAAGATCATGTTTGAATATATGAAGTTTAACTTTAGGAAACCAGCGACTGCGTCGGTAACATCTTCTGTATGACGCACGTTTAACAGTTTTCTAGCAGCATTTCCGTCTTGCATCATTTGCAGTAGCGCCGCTTTTTACCGTCATAATTCTTTATATTCCTCATTGTTCTCCGTTAAAACAACGTGTTGACTGAAGCAGCTGCACACGTGACGCCTTAAACGCCTCCTTTTATGTGAATGAAGCAGAAAGTCTGAGTCGACAAAGGACGTTGAAAACCAACTTGGTGTTGACTGGGGTTTTAGTTTTTGTCGAGCCGCCTTACACAAAGAAAGCCCGGATATGTCAAGGTCTGATCATGTTCTGGCTTTTATTTGTTTGTAGTTTGCTTTGTTGTGTCGTGACTTTATCCAGATGTGCGCTTTGGACCCCAAAAACCTGCCAACAGGTTTGAAAGTTAATATTTTAAAAAAAACTGTGAAGACAAAAAGTTGGATTGTCACATTTCCAACTTAATCATCTGTGACTTTGCTCGGAAGCTTAAGCTTAAAATCATGACATTTAATTAAAATCTCTTCACCCTACATGTCATTTTTTAAAGATAAACTGTGTGCACTATTTAGATTATGTAGAAAAAACTAAAAAATTCTACCTTCATCAGCAGTGAGGAGCCTTTAGTGACTCAGCAGCAACCGACAGACTTGTGACAAAAAAAATTCAGGGCCTGTTTGGCTGAACTGCGCTGAACTGCAGGCTGTGTTTACTCAGAGCAGATGGGAGATGAGGATAGAAGCAAATTAAAAATGCAAGTAGTAAAATATCTCTAGTATGTAAAGATATCATGTTTTTTTTTTCTCCACACTCGGAGGAAAAAAATGCACAACTTTTTAACATGTTTGTATAATCATAGAACTTTTGCCTTTTTCTTGTTCATGTATTCACCACATTATGACATTGCTATGCTGCCCCCAAGACACTTGTGAGTCCTCTCTGCCTCTAGATGGGGTTTTGCTGTTTCCATAGAGATGCAGGACTTTATGTTGCAGTGAGCGATGAGCCTGCAGTCGGTAAAAATGTGACAGGAGCATTAAAAAAACAAAAACATGCAGAGTTCAGAGGCTGACTTCACTCTTTCTCTCTTATTCATGCCTGTGTCTTGCCGGCATTTCTGATCTACGTGGAAAGCATTTGTTTGAAAACGTGCCGCCACGTTGACGCTGACTTGACTCGACTCTAAAATTGTACGATGAATTATAGATGGTGTAAGTGCGTACGCTTAGCTGGAGGGATTCAGACCGGAGCCGTGTGATTGCTGTTATTGTGACCTCGGGCTGCGAGCGCGAACACACATTAGCGCGTGTCTACAGCGCTTAATGCCGTGACATTTTGCTAAAGGACTGTTAAGACGATCCGCAAATTGCAAGTGTGCTGCAGCAACACCCAGCCCAATATCGCTGTGGTTTACATGTGGGACTGCGAAGCGCCATAACCGTTATTGTTTCTTACTCACATTGTGCTTGGTGAGACCGGAAATGTTGCTCGCTATTGCCTGAAGCCAGTCCAGGCAGTCTTCGGATGCAGGAAACTGGATGACTCCGCTGCACACGCCGTCCACCGCTATGACCTGGAAGGCATTTTTTCTGGAAGAATCAAGAAAAAGCAAATGATCAGGGGATGGTTTGGTTTGTTTTTACAGACTGACCATAAACTTTCAATTGATTTCAGAAGAAGATTCGATCAAATTGGAGCAAAACCTTACTAGCAATCGACGGTGTGTTATTAGATTTAAACAAATTTCTTCTTATTTATTTACATATATATTTTTTGGGGGGGCTTTTTGCCTTTATTTAGAGCAGGAAACAGACAGGAAAGGGGGGAGAGACCTGCAGCAAAGGGCCGTGAGCGGGAATCAAACCCACGACCACTGCATCGGGGAACTATAGCCCCTGATCATGGGTCGCCCGCTCAGCCAGGTGAGCTTTAGGGGCGCCCCATATGTTATTCGATTCCTCTAAAACTCTTCCTGTGGCACAAACCACAGACGACATGGCAGGAATGTTTTCTTCCATTTAGCAGACACGTTAGAATTCTTAGACAACTGAACATCCTTAAAGAAACTGTTTGTTATTTGGGGGAAACGTGCTTGAATACTGTTTGTTTTTTTGCAAAGCCAACTCTCACATCTGTGTCCTGGAGCTGGAGGCGGGAGACGGTTATCTCAGCAGGGTCAACAAATGAAACTGAAAACTAAAACCGTGAAGCTTAAAACTCATTAATTACCAGCTTACACGCTGTTTGTTTGAGCTGCACGAATGCACGAACCTGAACCGAGTCGCCGCTGCGCTTCTTGACAGTTCATCGTGCACACTTCTGTGGAGAACACACCGCCCTGGCAATGTCGTGGCCAAAAATAAAAACGGACCGATGCTAACTCTGGCCTCTCCAAGTCTAAAGGGCAAGTTGATCTTCATTTTGTTGTAATATAAACTGAAACTCGAGCCACTAATACGGCGAATAAATCCAAAAACGCACGTCGTCCTCGTGCAATTTTCAGTTAATGAGCTGAAAGGGGCCAAACCACAAGAGTCCAAGATCACTGTTTCTATCATCTACAGTGAAGCAAGAAATGGAAATGCATGTATTGACAGTTTAATGGCTCATTATGTCAAGCATCCACTATTCAGTAGATCACATGCACGGAGCCGGTGCGAGCCAAATGAATCATTAAGCGTCGCCGCCGTTTAGTTCTGGTCCAGATTCCTGTTCGCGCTTTCTAAAGACAATCAGAAGCTGACAGGTAGCTCGCCGCTGTGTTCACGTCACCGCACCGTCAGGAAGCATCAACTTCCTGTGGCAGAAAGCAGTCGATCTGCACTTTAATGCTCCTCCCGTGTACACTTATGGCGTCTGGCGGCTCATGAAGACGTACGGCGGCTGATTATGAGCGATATTAGGCTGCAAATCAACTGCCTGTTATGAACAATAACAAACGTTTAGACACAGGTCGAGAGTCGAGGCGTCTGGTGTTATCGTGGGATGATTATTGCGGGATTGTGCTTTTTAATCGACTTAATGAACTGACAAATCACGCCTCAGACAACGCGGCTCCAATTGCTTTTGATTATCTGATTTATCAGCCGCGGTAGCGAACGACTTCCACCAACACGTGCGGCGTGTTGCGTGTGCACATCGACTGTGAGGTCACTTCCTGAGCAGCTCGTTAGTAAATGAACGTTTGAATTATGTACATCTTGTATCAGAAAATGCAGCAGCTGCTACATTTCAGAGCCGGTGTGCTTGAAACCAGGCTGAGTTTGTAAAAACCAACAGCCCAAATGGACCATTACAAACTCAGCAAACAGGTTTACTTTAATGACGCCAGAAAGGTTAAGAGTGAAAGCGCGCCGTGTTTAATGGGACATTCTACACAGTTGATAAAAAGCTATAGATGTATTTATAGATGGCGCGCAGCAGTGAGCCCCATTTGGAAATCCCCAAGCATTTAAAAAGCCAGAGATCTCAGCACTGAGCCTTAATGGGAGAAGCCAGCGACACCAGATGAAGTCCCGCAGCTCACCTGCAGACGTCAGAGCCGGGGATGTACTGCGACAGGCGCGAGTGCAGCAGAGGAATAAGGCGCAGGTCCACCCATCTCTTCTCCCAGCGAAGCCCCGGGGACGTGGGCCAGGACGAGCAGGACAGCGTGTCCTGTGGAGGTGCCAAACGCGATTCAGAAGAGCCGTTCTTTTTCCCCCACCTTGCACATCTCAAACAGCTCACATGTCAAAAAAGTCCTGTCGCCGCCGAGGATGCGCCGGGCAGGCCGAGCGAGCACAAGCTGCAGATTAAAGAGGCTTCACCCCCCCTCACCCGCCCCTCCTCAAAAGATAAAGATAGAGCATCCCGGTTATCAGCGAGCAGTGACAGTCGCATGGAAACAACTTTCTGGCAGTGGGAGCGGTGCTGCATGGTTACAGAAGGACAGTTATAGAATCAGTCAGTCAGAGAAAGAGGCTGATGAAAAAGTACCGTGTTGTTGGGATGATAATTCAAGTGCAGGCCGCTATCACACAGAGGGGAGGAGGTCCCACTACTCTGGTCGCTGGGGATGCCTGAACGTACAACAGACGAACACACACACAAAAAAAAAACAGCCAATAAACCCGTCAACACCTCCATCTATTTCAGGGTTTCCAACTGCAGTGAATCACAGCCATCAACAAAAGTGTGTTGCTTTGTTCTGCTACACTGTTGGCTCCGGTTCTGTGCCAATTTGTATTCAGTTGACTGGCTGGATGGCCAGTCAACCTGGCCCACATACGCATATGAAAGGATTTTATAAATGCTTTCATGTCTGATGACGGGCTGAAGCTTTCCCATGCAGGAGCAATCAATTGCACCACAATGAGCAACGTCAATTCTTTCACTTTAGTCTTTTGTGAAGTTTCCGATGTGTTCTTTCCTCTTTTTTTTTCTTTAACAAAGTCGCATCTTTATTTAGTTCTTCACAAAACAAGAAGGAAGAAAAAATGAAAAAAGAGGTAGCAGCTGAATTTATTTTTCTTAGTTTTTCTCAAAGTGGCTCCAGTTTATTGTTTCCAGGACAACCGATTCAAGACAGAAAATAACACGGGCTAAAAATACCCTTTGTTTGATTATTTTCCACGACAGCGATAGTGATTATGTACTTAGACCTAATGCGCCGTCTTACATGTGCAGTCCTCACACAGCGGCAGCTTCAGGAAGGCCGGCGTCTTCTTTAAGAAAGAGACCGTGAGCGTCACTTCTTCGCCAGCGTTTCTCAAAACCTGGACCTGGAAGGTAAAACAGAAACAACGTGGGATTTTATTTTTTTTATCCGCGGGAGCCACAAACTGTGAGTTCTTCCCTCTGATTGCTCGCCGTGATGAAACATGGCGCGGCGATGTTTGGCTAAGAGTGGAGACCCAAGATAAGGGATTTACTGCAAGTTTTATCCTCCGCATTCACACATATTTCTTCTACAGCTGCATTTAAGCAGGAATGAAAGAGAAAAATTGGCTTTTACATGTCAGGGAGATACAAATCATAAAGTGAGACAAGATAAGCCGCTGAAAGAGTTGTTGCAGTGGAAGAAACTATAAGATGTGAGCTGACAGCTTACCACTTCCTCGTGGCGATAGCTCCTGACGTTTATTCCGTTTATCTGGAAACAACAACGACAACAACACGGTAACCTTAAATAATATTGCTGGCATCACATCACTGCAGCGCCGTCTTCCAAATGATTAATGAGGCGGGCGCGCTGATTGTTGTGGCATCTGCGCAGAAAAACTGTAAACAAGAGTCACATCCACAGTTGCCATGAACACCGAGCGTCTCTGGCTCGTCCACGTTTCCGACTGTGAGAGGAGATGTGGGGGATTTTTTTTCATTTTATTTTTACTTTTTGTGACCAAAAGGCATGGAACAGATAGAATGCCGTTGCCTATGGGGAAGCAAACTCATTCCACACAGCTCTGTGGACATGTGGCATATGAATTATTAAAGATGTGTTATTTTGCAGGGCGGGATGAGACGTGTAAACAGACATTAGTGTGGCATTTTACCTGAAGGATGCCGTCTCCGATGAAGAGCAGCCCAGAGAGCTCAGCTGGAAGCAAGAAAAAAAATGCAAAAATTAAAAACAACACTCATTAGTGGAGTGAAATAGTAAAAAAAAAGAAAACCTGACATTGTACCTTTTTGTTCTTTTGATATTTTCGATATCACAACAGGGATTTTGTGCTCTGCTCCACCCTGAGGAGACGAATTAACATGAATTGAATTGCAAAGGTATCACGGATGCAGAACACGACTCGCGAGACGGCCGCGGCGAATCCCTCGGCCGACGCCGCGGCTCGACAAGGAAATGATCAATAACACTTGTTCAGAGTTAATTTAAAAGAAGTTGAGAGGAGCGGCCAAATCAGCCGGGATCTAAATTACCTTGATGCTCAGGCCGAACCCTCCAATCGTCTGCCTCCTGATCGTTACAGTCCTCTCCTGCAGTTGGACAGGAGAGATAAGCTCAGACGGATGCTCGACCTGGGGGAGCGTCACACCAAACTCCAAAGCAACAACAGTTAAATGAAGAGGAATGCTGAGAAATCTGAGCTTTGCATGACTTAAAGAATAGATGTCTGCGTTTTAAAGTGTCGCCATGAAATCCTTTTGTTTGACGTGTGCAGAGATGATGCTCTTATTTAATACAGGACAGTGGAGTGAAGTTCAGTGTTTGATAATTGAAGATGTGACTTTATGTATATTTGTGATATCATACTTCCTGCTTTATTTACTATTATCTGAAACACTGAGACTGTTGACGTCCAGCAGCGTCCATCGATACGAAACAATAGCATGAATGTTCTGAGTCAGCCGGCAGATTTTTAAACATGGTTTGTCGTGTAGATTTCTAAATGGTGGAGGCACATGTTTGGTCACCTCCAGTATCAGTAAGGAAACCGTAAAGCAGCTCCGACGAGAAGACAGAAACATGTGGCAGTCTAAGCATCAATTATTTAAAAATAGCTGTGCAATGTGTTTTTATTTAGATGGACACGAACTGATAGAAATGATGTCCAGCTACGACGTCCAGCACTTGCTATAATCAGTGTCATCAATCATTCAGTTGCAATGAAACGTCAATTTCGACGGCAGCATGTGCACCGAAAATGCACATTTGTACCTTTTACCATATATCAGTTTCACGGTAAGAACGCAAAACATCTGAAGAGACAATTACAGCAATCAATTACCGAGAGAACAAAATAAAAGAATCTTCAAATTGACAGACGAAGATGGAAATGAGAAAGTCCCGGAACTGAACTGGAATTAATTTGGACATAAATTAAAAGTCTCTCATCCACATACAGTTTTTTCTCGTGGCTTTTGTGAGACGCCGTTATTTTTTTTTTGTTTGTTGACAGTTTTTGATGTTGTAATTGTCCAATTTCACACATTTCTACACGGACGTCTGTCTCTTGATTGCATTCAGCTGAAACCAGAAGTTTACTGTATAGAAAGACATAAAACCTTTTTTTTCTCTCACTGTCTGACATTAAATCAGACGAAACTTTTCCTGTTTTAGGTCAGTCAGGATTACCAGAATTATTTCTATTTGCTAAACACTAGAATAATGAAAGAGTGAAATTTTTAGAGATTTTTTTTTATCTCCATTCACATGCATACAGATCATTTTGGTAATCCTGTCTTTTCACACAGTGTATGTCAACTTCCATGTCTGTAATCAGCATTTTTCAGTGTCCACGGCGTTCAGGAAATCAACAGAGCGTTTTATTTAAACGTAAAACTTAACCGGGGCAAATAAGTCTGCACTTGTTCCTGACACGCTGAAGCGGCATTAGCACAGCGACGCTGTTGCCCTTTGCGTTGATTATTAATGATGTTTCAGAGGACACAAACCTCCATTTGTCTTTGAAGATGTTTGCTTTTTTTCTCATCCAGTAGAATGTTATTGAATGAATAATGCCATTTAAGGGGAAAGGTCGTGGACTCGGGTCTCAGCCGAGTTGATTTTTTTTAAGAAACCGCATTTATTAGTGTGAAGGAAGAACTTGTGACGACTTAATGTCAGACCCGGGAGGTGAATCCCTGCTTAGTGGCTGTGTGTGATTTATGAGGAACAGATGAACTAACTTCAGATTGTTGTCGGTGTGTTTGTGTTCGTGCGGCGGCGACTTACACTTGAATAAAAAGGCTCTCCCGACACACAGATGACATCTTGCTCTTGAATGGTCAGAATATCTTTGGCCAAGTGTAGTCGAATATTAAACGGCTCCTCATTACCTTCTTGCATCAAATAAATCCCAGTCTTTGTCTGCGAACAGTCAGACAGATAAAAATCATTCATCATCCCTCCAGAACTAAATTAACTGGCCATGAAATGAAATGTCATCCAGAATACTCGGCGCAAGATGAACATGGAAATTAGCAAACAGTTTGGGTGATTTTCTTTCCTTTTTTTTTTTTTTTACTACTTCCCTTGTTAACGTCAGAACAAATAACCACATTCTGAGTAATAAACACACAAAATAAAACGTAAGAAAGCGTTTTACGGCTTTGTGTGACTCTCAAACAAGCAGCTTGGTTGTTTTTCTTTTTTTCCCGTGATGACATTTTTGTGCCGTCCCCGTGCTTTGTACACAGACAAAATCAAATTACGGCATCTCATTTATCCGAAACGCAAGGTTGATGAAAATGATGAAGCTGTGAAATTGGCTAAAATCGAGCTCACCCACATCTACGTTTGGATTTCCCTGCTTTGTGCGAGCGGCGAGCGGCGAGGGCTGTGTGTGTTTCCGATGATCCGTTTAAAACATGCTAATCTGCATAAATTTGCATTCCGCGTATCCTTCTCCTCCTCCCCCGGCTAATTGTGATGCCTGTCCTGTCCTTGACTTAAAAAGGTCTAAATAAAAAGGAGCACCTTCACCTGACAAGACTGCTAATAGGAGAAAGCCACCGGTGTCAGCATCCCTGTCACCCGGGATACGCCGCTCATCAGTTAACAAGACAGCCGGCTGCAGGGCTGCTGCTGCTCCGAGCGTCTCCCAAACTGCAGGTTAAACTTGAATCAAAGTCAGTTTACGGAGCACATTATCTCCCGCCCGTGATGAGGAATGTAAAGAACCGAGGAACGAGGGCGGCGTTCGTTCACGTCGTTTGAAGCAATGTGCGGAGTCATTAGCTGAGCAAAACGAGGGCAGTAGTGCCTGTATACTCGGCAGCGTCTCAGGTGACAGAGCATCGTCTGACCCGCTGTAGCACTCGCATTGTACATAATTAGCCTTATCTCTTATCCAATTTTATGTTTCACGGTTTCTCTCTCCCCTCCACCACCACCACCACCACCACCACCACCACCCCACACCGTTATTATCTGCATCATCATCTCCAATCTGATAGCGTGAACATGACTATTTACTCTGCAGACTGCATTAGACATGCAAGGACATCTTATTCCGACCGAGGGGTATTAATTAGGGGAGCGCTGGAGGGCCCTTACCCCCTCTGACCCTCAAAATCTGCAGGCGGGTTTTGAAAAGCGTGTTCACTTTTAACTATTTGTCAAAATTACACCATTTATCGGAGCCAGAAAGTGTGAAGAGGGGAAAAAAAAAGAAATTATCAGATTTTCAACTCCTCATCGAACTAATCGTGTGTGACTTCTGGTTCTGTGAGGAGAAATTAATCAAATCTGGGCTGAAGAATTGTGTTATTTCCTCCAAATTACTTTCATCTCTTAACTAAAATAAAATAAAATAAAAAGCCTTTTGCTGAAAAGTCAGCAGTGCAAACAAGACGTTATTAGCAAGAACAAGAATTCAGCTGAACTGCAGGTTGTGTTTGTGGACAAATTAAGAACGTGAGTAGCTAAATATTAACAGCATGTGGAGCTTTACACCTGTAGGTACTTGGAAAACGGTATCGTCCAGGTTTTTTTTAATTTTGCAAAGTAAATAGTCAAAAAATGGAACTTCTGTATGTGTTGTTTTATGATAAATGACATTATAAATATGTTTTTGAGGCCCGGTTGCACCTCGTTACTGTATTCAGGGTGGAAAAGGTGTTTTTATTTCATCAAACCAATTGACTTTGGTGAAAGGATGCAGCTTCGGTGTTCCCTCAAAACAGTTTGGTGCAACATTTTCATGCAGAGAAACTGATTAAGACGGTTAATTCACCAAAAAAAACACAAGGCTAGCAGGGCTGTCTCATAGCATCCTCTGCAAAACATTTTCAGATTGGTAGGTGGCTGCCCAGAGGTTGTTGTTGTTGTTGTTTCCCTGAGTGAAGGGGGATTGGAGGAAGCCGTGTGAAACGCGTGACCGAAGGCAGGCTCATGCCCACAATCTACTGTACATCTGGGAGAGACGCGACAGGAGCTGCTTGAGGTTCACACACAGGATTCTGCTTTTGTTTTTTGAAATACTACCTATGTTTAAAGGTGGTTTAGGCCACACGTCGTCTCAAGAAAGTAAAATCAGGCTGAAGGACAAAAGAGAGCAGCTTTGAGGACGGCTGCTCGCCGACCGCGCTTCACGGCGAGGTCACATATTTTAGGATAGTTTGCTCGGTGATGAATAAAGCAGGAAACTCAGAGAGTGAGTCAGCGGCATCATGTCAAAAGGTGGAAAGTAAACCGACAAGTTGTCAACAGGAAGCGTATAGATATACTTGTTGATTCAGTCATTTGTACGACGGATGCATTAAAAGAGGGCGAGAGCATAGCAGCGCCTCCATTCACCGAACAGAGCCACAGTCAGGCCACAGGCTTTCACGTATACCGCGATGCTTCATGCTTTTCTCTTTCTTCCTCCTCAGGCACTTTCTATAATCACAGTCAATTGTTACATTGATTAAATCCCACCAACCTCTTCATTTGAAGTCTTGAAATCCATGTGCTACTATGCAGTGAGGGATACTGCAACGGAGAAAAACAAGAGCGGGTTAGACGGCGGAGACAAATGCTTAACGACACGACCAACTCGCTGCAGCAAGAAAAAAAGCACTCGGCCGATTTAAACCGGCGTTGTTAGCAGGATGCCCATCCTCATTACGGCCATATGGAACGTGCGCAGTGGAGAGAAATTGATTTGTCATTGAAATTTGCCTCTTCTTATAAACTTAACGTGTGCAAAAGGGGGAAAAAAAAAAATCCTCATTGAACAATCTCAGGAGGAAAAACTGGAGACCATTAAGCGTTAATGAATAATTCATTAGCAAAGGTGAGAGCCCAGGTATCCTAATAAATGTTTCAATATTGAATCCGGCTGCTTGTGGAGATGAACTGTCAGAGAGAGAAGAAAACTGGGCCACACAGGAGAATCCCACAATAAAAGCATCACATCCGCAGAGGTAAAGGTAGAGGAGGTAAACAGCACCTACTTTATAAATCATCCGACTTGTTCCGTTCAGATGCACAAGTAGTCCCCAGGAACGTCGCGCCTCATTTGCATAAACCAGTTCCACTCAGTTTTAATCAGACATGACTGCCACTTGACTCGACAAAATGAGCGCCGAACAAAAAAAATGGCTCTCGAGTCGCAGAACCAAGAGAAGAGTGGCGGCGCTTACCTCAGCAGAAAGGCCCCCAGCTCCGTGCACGGCGAGGTCTAGCCATGGAGCGGCGAGTTGATCTCCGATCCGAGCCGCGGCAGAGGGCCTCCCCGGATCATGGCTGTCAGGAGTCGGTGCGGCGGGAGAAGCGATGCTGTCACTTTCTCCGGGCTGGCTGTAGGTGCTGCAGGATTATTCCCGGTGGAGCCGGAGAGCAGAGCGAGGCTGTGCGGTGGCTTCTCTCCCGGAGGTCCGTAGCAGGAGGAGGAGGAAGCGGCTAAGGTGTCATCCTGATGCTAAAAACCACTCCAGGGTTGAAACGAACAAAAAGAAATAAATCAAGAGTGAGTCGAACGGAGCTGAATATTGTCGATTACATGGTTCCGACTACAAACGGCGAGATGTAATCTACAGACGAGGGTGTTTTCGGTGTGAACGTATGTGGGAATCAGAAGCAATTCACGGCTTTATCTCCAAAACACGCAAAAAAAAGGAGATTCAAAGACAAACCCCAGATTCCTGCTTCATGACTGAGCTTCCTCTCCCTCATGCAAACCTGTGGATTCATGTGCCATCACACAATTAACTCGTTTTCTTACATTTTCTTGGATTTTTTTGTACGCCGAGCACGAATGGCTCTTTAAAAGCGTTTATTAAGTTCCAATAGCACATCCTTGAGAAGCCCTCCTCGTTAGTATGCGTTGCTGGCTCACTGCCACCTTTTTGTGAGTTACTTCTATGATCATTGTTCTACAGGATTTTAAAAAAAAAACCTACAGCGTGTGATATTCAGGCTACATTTCATGTATAAATCATCAGCTGCTGATTATACAGTAAAAAGTAACCTTAGCAAAACTTGCAAATGTATTTGTTAAGCACTGGGGAGGAGAGGAAGTGATTCAGAGCTGCTCGAGAGGAGAAGAGCCGAATCTAAACAGCAAAAACTCTCAAAAGCTCTGACCTTCAGAAAACACCAGGTTGTTAGAAAACATTATGTCGGAGGGATCCAAGAACTCTGGATATCTTCAGATGACATCATTATCCTTGATGTAAAAGAAAATATATCACCCACTTCTAAAGACGTACACTTCCTGAGGCGCTCCAGTAAACATTTGGTGCTCCTGCTGACGTTCCTTCGCTTGTTGTTTTTTTCTTTCTTTTAGAAGTATTTTGCGGATTTCAATGTTTACGTTCTTCAACTCCTGACTTGAGATAATTGGCTTATCGTCTCCGTTGATGTGTTTAGCGTATTTGTGTTGTTTATATGAGGGGGCCAGATCAAATATTTTCCTGCTTTTCGATCACATTTATTTCCGTGACATAGAAGTTAATTAACTACATGCATACAGACAGACTGTACTCAGGCTATTCGTGGAAATGAGTTGGAAAACAGTGCAGCCTCTAACCCAACTATGGTGGTAAATATTCTGTTTTGAAGTTGAAAGGCTCTGAGCGTCTCACAGGTCGGCTCTGAAAGCTCCTCATACAGATCCTGAACTGGGCAGGACTGGTTTCCAGCACCGGGAACGAGCTGCGACACGGCCTGAGGACGCTCTGCAGAGCTTTACAAGCTCGTATTTCTACCGATGTTTGCAGATGCTTTAAGCTTGGCGGCGTGTCGGTGCGTGAGATGGTCGCTCTGAGCGGATGGTTTTCATTGTTGCCGTTCTGTGTTTATGTAATTTGTTCTCAGGTCTCTCCTGTAACGGAGATCTTTATCTCTGTGAGACGTCCTGAATAAATAAGTAACTTCAGAGGGATGCTGTTTGTGGTGCAGCTGAACTGTGTAACTATCAGATCTATCTGTGAGGTGTTTCTATTACTCCTCTGTTTAAACCAGGGAGCGGGGGACAAAGCATTCAGCGTAATAAGGTAGATGTGCATCTCATTACCCATGAACAGGGTGCAGTTAGACAGGATCTGCATTATAGGACTTCTGCTAGTTTAGTCAATGAAGTGACCAATAAATGGAAAAACGCTTCATCTGCACCGATGCTGATGATCAGCCACAAGACATCGAGCTGCTCTTTGTCTGATCTAGAAACACATTGAACAGTTTTATGCTTAGATTTAGACCAAATGTGTTGCTGCAACTTTCTAAAGTAAGAAAATGCAATGAAAGCGTATTCATGAGCGTGATATGGAATATACTGATATTATATATTGACATAAAAACAGTTTTTCTACTGAACAGCTGAGCCATAACACTTCAGACTACTGCTACACTGCTGTTTTGCACCATCCATCCACTATCTATACGCCGTTTAATCCTCACTAGGGTCTGGAGTCTATCCCAGCTGACTCAGGGTGAAGGCAGGTTCACCTGAACAGGTAACCAGTCTATCACAGGGCTACACTTAGAGACAGACAACCAAGCACACTCACATTCACACCTACGGACAATTTACAATCACCAATTAACCTCAGCATGTTTGGGAGGAAGCCGGAGAACCCGGAGAGAACCCACGCTGCACGGGGAGAACATGCAGAAAGATCCCGGGTGTCCTCACCGGGACACGAACCGGCGACCTTCTAGCTGTGAGGCGACGATGCTAACCACTGATCCACCTTACAGCTATTTTGCACCACGGTACATATATTTTTTCTGCTCAGATGTGTAAATTCTTGTATATATTTATCTTATTTTATTTATTATTATTATCTTTCTATAGTTGTTTTACTTTATTTTTTATTTTCCTGTTGCTAATTCCTACCAACACCAAATTCCACCAAAATTGTGTTGTGTACGTACTTGGCCATTAAAGCTGATTCTGATTGAATATATTTAAATATATATATATTATTGATAAATACAAATTAATAATAGGAACTTTGATTAGCTGTGACATGTGATTCGAATGTTCGCTAAGTTGAAATCAATATATCGCTCCACCAAGGCTTAATCTGCTGCACTTTTTCTTCGGGATACGTCCAAACGCTTTGGTTCCATTGATTTATTTTGGAGCTGTATTGACTCTGACCACTGAATTTAAACGGCGTTTGTCTCCACCTGCCCTCTACGCTGTCTGTGTCGGAGTCGAGCCGGCTCCCTGTAATGGATGTAAGAGAAATCCTGACATCATTTGTGGGCCCCCGGTTTAAAAAATGAATGTCTTCAGGTGGTCAGCTGAAATATGTGTCTGCAGCCGGGAGATGAGCACTCCGTCTTAGCGGGTGCCCTCCCGTACGTCCCGCCAGACGCCAGCGCCTTCCCCTTCCCTTCTGCCAGAATCCAAAGATTAAATAGGCTGAACCTTTTGTGCCTCTTTAAGTCGAGTCAGCGTAACTCCTTTTACAAACCACGCCATCAGATATTTTCAGTCCCACCAATTTGCCAAGCAGTGTTTTTCAAATAACGCTCTTGTCTTTGACACAATGGCAGCAAACAAAGAGAGAGCAGCGGCGCGAGATTGCCTGGATGATGTGGAGATTGTAACGTGACATCTCCATCTCTTAGACCCGAGGACAGCTGCGGCCCATGCGGGATGACGAATGGCCGTTCGTGCGTGCAGGTGGAGCAGCTGTCTGCAGAGCGCGCCGCCGAATGTAGTTTCTACTCCTGGAGAACGGCGACGGGGTTTCGCTTACTGTACGTTCATTTATCCCGCGACCTGGAACATATGGCGCCTGAGAGTGCCGCGTTTTTAATTTGGAGAGCGATGATAGGGGGGATATTATGTTACTCAAATATTATGGCGTCCCAGAAGAGTCCCACTCAACAGCAAACGCATTGCGCTGACAAAATTTCACATGGTCTGCCAGTTCATGTTAGAAAACAGAATGAGTTTTCTGTCGTGAGCTGCCAGCCTCGTCAGATGTTAGAAACGGGCACCTTGCTCCATCTATCTTCTAAATTATTCCAGTTTTATCACTACAGACGGGATCTGCGCGTTCATATTTATAATATATGATGAGGTATTTGTGGATTTTGATCTGTAAATCACTGTAAGTCTGCAGTTTGTAGCACCGGACGAGCCAACGCTCTCCATGCTTTCCTTGGTGAGGCTATTTATTGTAAGTGGTTTCTTCATTTTTGAAAAGAAACCGAGAGCAGCGCTTTCCTTGTGTTTGTCGTGGGTAGGTGTATAATAGGTCTGGATGGAAATGAAAGTTGTAATTGAAAACCGGGGTTCAGCGATCTGTTTCGATTTTATATCTCTGGAACATGAAATATGTCCTATTTGTTAAAAATGAAGAACACCTTCTCTCTGCCGCAAAAAAAACCACAATTTCCTCATAAAACAGATAACGGCGAAGACTTTAGCGTTGGTCTGTTAACCATCCCGAACCCAAATATATTCAATTTACCACCACAGAGGGCTAACGAGGACGCGAGAACTGTGAAGTTTGTGCTTAAAAACTGACAACCGGTTCATCAGTGGGAAGTGAAAGGGAGTTATTTTTCAATTAACTGTGACTTTCCAAACAATGTCCATCAAATGCTCCTCGTGCTGTCGTGGTTTTGTCCCGAGCACGTGTAATCTACAGCGAAATGAGGGAGAGGAGCAGCCAGAGGATATTTGCAGAAGATTCATTGTCTGTCAGTTTATCATTTAGCAGCTGGTTTTAATAAAAAAAAAAACAAAAGTGTGTTGAAACGGTTGTGCGCCGCTTCCTCTTCAGCAGACAGTTTGTGACACATTAATAAGCTCAGCCCTCTGTGTCGCTCCGGCGGCGAACAGGCTCGTGTCAAGAGGCAGCTGTTTGAACAGTTGTGTATTTACAGAGTACATCAACAGGGTCTGTTTTTTCCTGCGCCGCTAAAAGGTGCTACCTCTCGTTCCGTTCCTTCAGGATCGATCATCCGGGGCGAAATGCAAAGACGTCCCTCGTTACGTTTCAAAAAAAATAAGTCCTTCGTCGTCTCATAAGTCGGTACCTGAGGCCCCGGTTCCAGCCGGAGGGGCTCCACACGCCAGATGCTCATGAATGATAGGCAGAGGAGTAAATTAGTGATGGACACATTTATAGACTGAGCTCCTGACCTTCCTGACTATGATGTATGTTTTTTGGCAGCAGGGAGCCACCAGATATCAGGTGGGTGCCAACTTAAATCAG